TACATACATACATAGCTAAGTTATCACTTAGGAAGATAGGCATGCAAATTAGTTATGCAAATGATTACTAAATAAATGCATAGGTAGCAGTGTCATGATACTACATACCTCTTTAGTCATTTTGGCAAATTATGCAAATTAATTATGTAAAATATGCTAATTAATACAATATGAATACATAATGAGTAGAAGTGCAATGATGCAATGTACAGTACCTTCTTGGTCATGGTGGCTGAGAAGAGGTATGTATTCCTTTGTTTTGGGATGACTTTGAGGATTTTGTTCAACTCTTCTTCAAAGTCCATATTCAAAATACGGTCAGCTTCATCCATTACCTGGACAAGAAGTAAAAATATTATTTTAAGACATAATTACAAGCACTCTAATTATTAGGGAGACTTATTTTATACCTTGTTTCACAAACTTATTTTTTTTTAAATCATCAGAGGAGGGCGAAAAAAAATAAATAAAATTTACTTTTCTCATTTAGCAAATGGTTTTGCTAAAAACATCCAGACGGAGGAGAAAATAAAAATAACCTTTCATTATTGAATGTAAAGAGTGTAGTAATAGGATGGTTAAATCCATTAAATTTATATAATTAGGAAGAAATATACATATCTTATTTTTGGAGATTTCAAGGCAGCAGTGGGGTAATAAAAATAAAGAAAAACTTTTATTTTTTTCTTAAATTTCACACACATAATGGCTACCATTCATTAAGCTGCTCTCAAATGCCAAGCTGCTGCCTGAGTCACCGACATCTTTCCTGCTCAATGTTATTTTTTGTTTAATCCTTAACAAACGATAAATTTCTTCTTGAATCTTGAATTTACTGAATTGGCAATGATAATTTTGTGTGGTTCTTACCAGATATTTCAATGCTCTCAAGTTGAATCCCTTTGTGTTTTCCAAATGGTCTACTAGTCGACCTGGGGTAGCTATAAAAGAAACAGATTTTATAAAAAAATTGTCTTTAGGGTCTGTGAAATAATAATTATGAAATACAAGTATAACAGACTGATTTCTGAAAATCCAAACCTCTGTACCCTACCTATGATAATATGCGGTTTCTTGGCCAATTGTAAAGCTTGTGTCATCATATCAATTCCACCAATCACAACAGCTGTAAAATGATAAAATAAAAGGCTGCGAAATATTTAAAATTATAGCAGTGTGCGAAAATAGAGGGCTTTACAGTATTTCTGGTCACTTATTTCATTTCTAACCAAAACTTCTCAATTAGAAAATGTATTTCTTTCAGCTGTGTATTTCGTATTTTTAATTAACATCATTATTATCATCAAGCATACACATCAATCATCATTTAAACCTTAACCATCATTTTCTTCAATCATTATCATTGTCATTATTTATAATCAGTCATCATGACCACCACTAAATTATTTTAAAAATGTAAAAAATCGTGAAAAAAAATAATGTTATAACAATTTAAACAAGCCAGCAGGCCTGGAAAGAAATGCTTGTGCCTTCATGAAACCATGAAAGTTGTCTCGATAAAATGTGTCCAGCACCAAATGTTATCTGTACACTATACCTATATGAGGCTTGTTGTGGCAAAAAGGCTTAGTTGTAGCAAAAATTGAAATTTAAATTATTGGTATTTTCAGATACCTGAGTATGTGATCTTTAAAATGAGAGGTCATTAATTCAAATTGGACATTTCAAGCCTAAAATATTGGAAAGTGAAAGTACAGCACTCTTAAAGTCAAGATAAACATGATTTTGAGTAATTGCCTTCCAAAGTTATTTGTGCATACATTGTTTAATAGAATTAACTATCTAAATAACATTAAATAAACAATTTGTTGACCACTTCCAGAACTAATACTTTGGGACATGATTAATAAGGCATTAAACTGTTGATCTATAGTGAAAAAAAAATTTGGATTTTTTGAGAGCTCCCATATTTCATAGCTCATTTACTCAATACTGGCCTGTGCGACAACTTAACCATTTCGCCACGACGTGCCTCATATAGTCCAACAGTTTAATTACTTAATTTATGTTCCTCAAAATTCCTCCAAGACATGTTGCCTCCGACTGTGCACTTTTTTTCAGCCCTGGAAGCACGAATACATTCCAAAAAAAAATGGGCTTACCACAGGTGACCCCAATACTGCTTCCCAGTGCTTCAAACTGCTCAGAAATCTGGAAGGCTAGCTCTCTTGTTGGTGTCAACACCAGAGCAAATAACCGCTGTGGCGTTTCCAATAGAGCTTGAAGTATTGGAAGGGCAAATGCAGCTGTTTTGCCAGACCCGGTCTCTGCTAAGCCGATCACATCCTTTCCTTAAATATGACAACAAAAGCAAAATAAGTCAAGGAATCAACCATAAATTTAAAATATAAATGTATCATTCTATACTTAATGAAGTACAGTACCGTACAAAATGGAAATATTTTAGGAAGGAAACGTAAGTTGTCTACTAACCCTGTAAAGCCACAGGTATTGCTTCTCGCTGGATTTTAGTTGGAGATTTCCATTTAAGTTCAGCACAGGCTTCACACAGCACATCAACAAGGCCCTGTATTGAATTATAAAATAAAACCAATACTCATTTCAACTCCCTAATATACATTCAGTGTTAAAACATCATTTTTTTAAATGCTATGTCGAAAGAAAAACAATAGTAAGCCTACTTTACATTGACATTTCAAAACTATTTCATAAATTTATTCCCAACCAATCAACTCCCAACCCCATGTCTGTATGATAAATATGCTTCTGTTGAGTAATAAAGGGCCTGATGTTCTACTGCAATTAGCACAATAAATAATATATGATGTAAACATAAAACTAATTGCTAAATGCTACGTTTTTAAATTTGCAAACCTCAAAGAATTCATGGAGCCTATCATTTTATGATAATGTATCCAAAATCATATTGGGTCATTCCAGCTACATCAGCCAGAAATATAAAAGTGCCCCAGTGACCTGTCTTGGATTTTTCGTAAAAACAATTCTAAAAATACATTGTTATACAAGAGAAAATCCAAAATTTCAGTTTCAATTTCCAACCAGTTAAGTTATGAACTTTTAAAAGTTAGGTACCAGACCCCCGCACCTCACCCTTTTTATACCAGTAATGGCTCCTTTAACTGAAGTACAGTAGTTAAGAAACAAAATCTAAACTTTCTACTTACAATGATACAGTATGTGTACTGGTACCTAAATTTCAAAAGGTCATAACTTAAAAACCGTTTGGAAATTGAAGCTGAAATTTTAGATTCTTTCTTTTGACATAGATACTGTAGAAAGATTTATTTATTTTTTTTTTTTAAGGGAAATCTAAGCAAGGGGGCATGATGGTTTACTTGAGCTGGAATAACCCTATTTCAATAATAATGTTGGTACCATATTTAAGTCAATTCTCCTGAAAAAAATCTTGCATTTTAACTTGTTTTTATTTTTGCAATGTAATTTTCTTTATTCTATCCATTATTATTTCTCTTTCCTTCTTTTTCTACCATTTAAATTTATTAAAAATGTGAACAACCTGTCCTATTCTATATCATTATTTTATATTATCATTATAATACCTAAACATACAAATGGAATTATCCAGGCCATTATGCGGCCACCAGATCCGAATGCGAAATTCATTATCTGCCTGGCCTAGGCCACCCTATCACCGGATTTACACCTGGCGGTCCAGCCCAGGTAGCCATTAGGCCGGGATGCAAAAATGACAATGGTAGGTGCCTAACTAGGCTAGGTAGGCCTAGCCAATCTACACAGGCTCCCATTTACACGGTTATGTGACTAGAAACATTTTTCACTCATATAAATGATTTATATTTAAACAAACCAAAGAATCAAATGTTATAGCATCATCTTTCGATGTTTCATCGACAATATCCTCCACATGTGTGTCGCTTGTGCTCGCAGTCGTCGCCATTGTTGATAATTTGATGGGTAAATTGTGCTCAAAAAATGTGTAATCATGAAGGTCGCGTGGAAGCGTTCACCGCGTTGGGCCGTAGAATTTTCAATTTTAGATTGTCAACGATGATTGAGTCTTCATTTTTCAGTCTCTGTACGTACGTACGTCAGAACATTCGTCCTTTGGTCCTCCTACTACTAGCCTAGCCTAGGCTACTTTTCTTATGCTGATCTGATTTTAGGCCTAGCAGATCTGAAGTACTCTAAAATATCAAGATGGGTAAACTTAAACATGTTGATCTTATACTACAAGTATCCCTAATTATTTTCATGGAGATTTATCTCTATTTTAACGGATTGTACAGTCTAATGTTTGTAACGATTTTATTCTTGTACATGGCATCGGGGTTCAGGGTGGCTCGGTCTGGGTCCCAGGTCTGCATTATTGTACTGGGGGACATAGGAAGGAGTCCACGTATGCAATACCATGCAATTTCGTTTGCAAAGCTCAAGTTCGATGTAGATATCATTGGATATGGAGGTGAGGACATTCTCCAACATTGTATGAATAATTCATTATTTTATTTTATATCAATCTTTAATCTTGAATCATGATTACTAAATTTCTAGGCCTAGGCCTATGTTATATATTAACTAGCCAAAATTTACATTTTTTTAGTTTACCATAAAGCCTATAGATAGGCCTATCCTAGGCCTAGTTGAGTAGGCGAGGCCTAGACCCTTGTAGTAGTAGTAGGCCAACCCAAGACTAGGCCTTGCCTAGACAGTTTATAATATTTTAGGAAATGGTTTTGTTCCAACATTCCGTAGGCCTAGGCCTATAGTGTATTAATAACTATCGAGAATTGAAGTTTAAGGTTAACATCAAGAAGGCTCCACCAATCAAATCTCGGTCCCGGATTTGTGTTGTTGGAAATATATATCCACAATGTTTATTTTATTTACAGAGTATTCATATACTTGCATCAGGGCCACGCCCCCTTAAATTCAAGCTGCCACTTCAATTGGATGTTTTGCGGTACAATAAGAGACAGGGGTCCCAAGTCTCCTTCAAGTAGCAGAGTCCGGCCCCCGGAAATGAGACGGCTCTTGCACTCCTGCAAAAGGACATGAATCCCCTGGAAAATAACCTATCTCCCACAAATAACTGTATTCTATAATAACCCATATCATTTTTCTCATGGAAGTCTGCGTCGATTAGTACCACCATAAGCAGCATTTAAGCAATATTAGTTGTGCTATCAAAGAAAGATAGTTTAAAAAGATCTGCAGAAATGATTTCTTCAAATTTGGGACCTCTGAAGACATATTTCCTTTTTTGTGCATTCAACTTATTTTACAAATTTGTATTTTTGATTAAAAAACAGGCCTTCCAAATTATTATACAAGAATAGATTACAGTAGGCCTAGGTTTGGCTAATTCAATTTCCATTCAGAAATATTTGTAAATAGTTGGAGTTAAGTTTTTGACTTGCACGTTCATAATA